CAATCTTAAATTCTTACAGAAAATAGAGGAGGAGGGAACAGTTCCTAACCTATTTTGTGAGGCCAGTGTAATCTTAAACCTGATAAAGACATTATAAAAAAAGAAAATTACACAGCACCATCCCTCATGAGCAGAGACATAAAAGTACTTAACATAATTTTAGCAAATCAAATTAAGTAATATATAAAGATGTACTGCATCATGGCCACACAGGGTTTATCCTAGAAAAACAAGGCTGGTGTAGCATTCAAAAATCAATGCAATTCACCACATTAAACAGAAAAAAGGAGAAAAACCACATGGTTAACAGATTCTGAAAAATTATTTGACAACATTCAACACTGCTTCAAGATTTAAAAAAAAAACAACCTTTCAACAAATTAGAAGAGAACAAATTGGAAGAGAACCTCCTCAATCTGTTAGAGGGCATCTGTGAAAAACCTATAGCTAATATTACACTAGACAAAATTTTGACCCTTTGTTCCTTGAAAAAATCTGGAGCAAAGTAAGGGTGCCCATTCTTACCACTTCTGTTCATCATTGAATAAGCTGTCATAGCCATTGCAATTAGGTAAGAAAAAGAAATAAAAGACATACAGGTTAGAAAGGAAGAAACAAAACTCTCTGATTTATAGTTTATGTATAAGGTCCTAAGACACCTACAAAAAACTACTAGAACCAAAACGTGAATATAGCAATGTTTCAGGATATAAGGTCAATGTACAAAAATCAATTTTATTTTTATATATTAGCAAATAATTGGAAAGTGAAAAATTTAAAAATAGTTATGTTTACAATAGAGTAAAAAAGCCTTAGGATACTTAGGAACAAATATGCAAAAAGACATATAGGATCTGTACATTGATCACTTAAAATATTGCTGTGAGAAACTGAAGAAAACCTAAATCATGCGTTATACCATAATTATGAATTGAAAGACTCATTATTGTTAAGATGTCACTTATCACCAAACTTAAATATAACTTTATTTGAATCTAAATCATAATCCCAATGGGCTTTTTTTCGGTAAGAATTGACAATCTGATTCAAAATGTATGAAAAGGACTTCAAATAGAAAAGGACTTAGAATAAAGCAATCTTGAAAAAGCATAACGACGTTGGAGGACTTAAAACTGTCTCAATTGAAGCCTTAGTAGGCGGCTGCAGTAATCAATATGCTGCTAGCGTATAGGTTGACTAGTAGATCAGTGGAACACAACAGCCCAGTACTGGACCCACACGTTTATGGTCATTTGATTTTCAACAAAACCAGAGTAAACAAATTGGGAAACAAAAATCTTTTCTATAAATAATACTGAAACAATTGGATATCCATTTGGAAAAACTATGAACTGTGGCCGCTTATACCATAAAAAAAAGTTAATTCAAGATGGCGCATAGACAGAGCTGTACTATAAAGTTAAAACTGTACCGCTTCTAGAACAGCACTGTTCAATAGAACTTTCTGCAGTGTTAGGAATGGCCTCTATCTGTCCATCGTCCAATAAGGTAGCTGCTAGCGACATGTAGTTATTGAGTAGTATTTGAACTGTGGCTATTGCAACTTAGGATATGAATCTTAAATTTAATTTATATTTAAATAGATTTATGTGGCTAATGGTTACTGTATTGGACAGTACAGTTCCAGAAGAAAGCATAGGAGAATGTCTTCACAACCTAAGCACAGGCAGTTCTCCCTTAGACAGGACACAGAAAGCAATAACCATAAGAGAGAGTAGATAAATTAGACTCGTCAAAATTTAAAACTTTTGCTATCAAAGGACACCACTAAGAAAATAAATAGGGAAACCACAAACTAGGAGAAAATATTTGCAAAACAGATATACTGGCAAAATACTTACATTAAAGATATATAAATAAGTGCTAAAGTTCAATAATAAAAAGACCCGCAATCCAATTAAAATATAGGTAAAATATCTGAACAGTCACTTAACAAATGAAGATATGCTAGTGCCCAATAAGCACCAGAAAAAATGCTCAACATAATTTGTTGTCACGGAAATGCAAATTAAAGCATGAGGTACTACCACATATCCTTCAGAAAGGCCAAAATGCTAAAGTTAGAACTACTGACAATATTAAATGTTATCAAAGATTTGGAACAACGGGAAATCTCATACATTGATGGTGGGAGTGTGGAATGGTACTTATTTTTTGAAAACTTCTGCTGCTTTCTTATAAATTTATAAAATAACCCATCAACTCTATTCCTAGATATTTACCCAAGAGAAATAAAAGCATACATTCACAAAAAGGTGTACAGAATGATCTAGCTGTTTTATTAATAACCCCAAACTGGAAACAGCCAAAGTGTTCATCAATAAGAGAATGGATAAATAAACTTGGCATATTTATACTATGGAATACTATTACTCAATAAAAAGAAACAAACTGATATACGCAGCCATGAGGATAAATCTCAAAAACGTCCTTTGTGAAGAAACCTTCCATGAAAGGGCACATGCTGTAAGATTGGACTTGTATGAAGTTCAAGTACAGGCAAAACTAATGTGAGTAGGAAAATATCAGAATGAGGTTGCCTCTTACAGAGGATGAGATTAGAAAAGACTGTAAGGAACTTTCTGAGATCAGGATAATATTTCTTAGGGTTTATGTTACATGGTTTTGTGAATTTGTCAAAACTCATGGAATGGTACCCTTAAGATCTGTATATTTTATTTTGTGTGCCTTTTACCTGAAAATGAAATAATCTGAACTTCAACTACTGATAGGTTTAGGGGTTTAGTGTGCTGAAATCTACAACTTACTTTAAATGCTTCGGTGTAATAAAATCGATGGATGCATGGCCAGTGGGATGATTCATATATGAGGACAGAAATCAAGGACAGGAGATGTTCACTATAGACTCTAGGCAATGAGTATGTAAGTGTTCCCTATACAAATTCTTAATTCTCCCAACTTTAATGATTAAGAATTCTTAGTTCTTTAAATCTTTCTGTATATTTGAACATTTTCCTAAGGAATGTTGGAAAAAATGTTTAACATGATTTTTCATTTTAAAAGTGACATATACCCAGCAAAAATATTTGGAAACCATAGAAAATAAAAGAAAGAAAGCATATTTTCCATAGCCCAACCATCCAGAAATAACCGTTACTTGATGTTTTTGCTTTCAGTCTTTTTTTCTGTACTTTATTTTTGCTTTATTTAATAGCTCTGGTCATATTTTATATGCTGTCTTATATCTTACACTTGTCTCCTATAAAAATATCCTATTTTTCCTCAATAAACTTTATGTCATTTCCACTGCCAGATAATATTCTACTGAGCTAATATACTACAGCTTACTTAAGCATCCACTTATTTTGTGTTTAGATTATTTTCATATTTTACTGATATATTGCTATAGTGATATCTTTTTACGAAGTTTTTTCTGTTTTATGTCCTTGTAAGTAGAAGTACCACGTCAAAGGTAGTTAAAAGTTTCAAAGCCCTTCTTTTTTTTTCTTTTTTTTTTTCTTTTATTTTTTCCTTTTTCTCCCCAAAGCCCCCCGGTACATAGTTGTGTATTCTTCGTTGTGGGTTCTTCTAGTTGTGGCATGTGGGACGCTGCCTCAGCGTGGTCTGATGAGCAGTGCCATGTCCGCGCCCAGGATTCAAACTAACGAAACACTGGGCCGCCTGCAGCGGAGCGCGCGAACTTAACCACTCGGCCACGGGGCCAGCCCCTCAAAGCCCTTCTTACACATTGTCAAATTATTGACTCCTACAACCCTTTCTTTCCAGAATAGTCCCTGAGACACCTCCACAGAATCCCCAGAGCTCAAAGCCCAGTTAAAACACCGCTGATCCAGAATAAGTTTTTTTACTGGCTGTATATCAAACTAGATTTTTTGTTTTTTAAAGATTGGCCCTGAGCTAACATTGGTTGCCAATCTTTCCTCTTTTTTCTTCTCCCCAAAGCCCCCCAAGTACATAGTACATGTATTCTAGTTGGAGGCCCTTCTGGTTGTGCTATGTGGGACGCTGCCTCAGCATGGCCTGATGAGTGGTGCCATGTCTGCACCCAGGATCCCAACCAGTGAAACCCTGGGCCACCGAAGCAGAGTACATGAACTTAACCACTCAGCCATGGGGCCAGCCCCCAACTTAGATTTTTTAATTGATTTTTTTTTTTTGCTATTATGAGGTTCAGCGAGGTTTAATAACTTGCTGAAGGTCCCAGCTCATAATTGGCAGGGCCACCATTTGACCCTATATATGTCAAGGCAGTATTCAGCATAAGACAGGTGTTTAATAATGTTTATTAAATGAACAAATGCATAAATGAAGGTACCAAAGACTTAGATCAATTTACATTTACATTTCCTATGTATTTCCATTCAGAACTATGAAACAGGTTAATTTCTCTCTGATACTAGCCCAGGCGATGTTCTCATTTGCATACTGGTTTATTTGTTCTGTCCATACCTACCTCATGTAAAGGAAGCAGCCTTCTGATTTTCCTTTGGCTCAGAACATAAAGTTACGTGTAAAGCCCATGTATTACAAGATGCTAATTGATCTATTGTTGGAAATGTAGTCGAGGTCACAGTGACATGAATATCCTGACTACTCTTTGCCTTCAAGGCTTCCAGTGTGAATTGCAAAAGGATTTATGTACAGTATGCAATCTTCTCCTCTGAGGGGAGCATCGTCTATAGGTTTCTGTAGGCAGGGGTGTGCCTTCTCTCCAGGGTCTAGGTATCCTGCAGCAGGCCTGGAGCAAGTGAGCTGGGGCTGCCGTCAGCACAAACATTGTACTTGGCAGCAGTGTGAGCAGACGCGCCAGGAAGTTGTGATTCCAGGGGCAGGGGGGCTGCTGGCTTGTGGGGACACAGCCTTTCTCTGAAATGGAGACTGGATGGGGAGGGGGCACTTCCTTTATAAACAAGCCTAGGAGGAAGGATTGTTTGTCCTTGTGTACAAGGGAGAAAATGAGACTAATTATTCCTTGTTTATTACAATTCTCTGCTTAGAGAACGAATCAAGTATTGCTGTGAGCAGCTGCGGACTCTGCTGCCATATATAAAGGGGAGAAAAAATGATGCCGCTTCGATTCTTGAGGCAACAGTTGATTACGTGAGGTATATCCGGGAGAAAATCCCTCCAGACGTTATGGGCCAGGTATTGGACTCTCAAGCCCTTGAATTTTGTCCTCATTGACAATGCTTTAGTGCTACAATTTTATTTCTGTTTTTTTATAGTTGGAAATGTACACTTGTTTGTATATATGAAAAAATATCTATAGCTATCTGAATAGATCCCTCTTTCTCTCTTGTAGATTACAGAAGCACTTCAGAGTGATAGGCGGTTTTGTAAGAAACAAATGCCTGTCCAGCTATCCCTCCCAGGGACGATCATGGCACAAAGGTATGAGAGGGCTCTTGAGAATCTGAAGTCGGCTTGTTATTTTCCTCTGATGCTGATGCTAGAAGTGTAGACAGGCACTTAACCCACTCATAATGAAAACTCAGGTATTTATTGAGAATCAGTGAACTTTTCTCATTTCCGATGTGTGTCATTTAATTACAGTATTAGAACATGTAATATTCTCAGGCCCATGATCCTGTTATCGTTTGACTCTCTCTTATTTCTTCTTTTGTTATTTCTGAGAATCTTAAAATGAGGCCTTGCCGGTAGTGGTAGTGATGGTTGTGACTGTGGCAACGCACTTGGGGCACAATGAGTTTGAGCTTTTCTCTGTTACAGGAGGTCACAGGCCCTGGAGCAGTCCAGCCCTGCTTCACTTGGGAGTTCTTAAAGAAATTGCTGGTACAAAATGTGATGTGCCCAATGGAAGATTCCTTATTTAAATTTATTAGAATATGTAAACAAAGAAAAACTATAGAGGAAAAGCAAATCATTCCTCCACATCCTAAAGAATTCTCCTGAGGCCTGGCCAACAATTGGTCCTTATATTTAATCCACAGTTTAGGCTCTGTGTGTTTTTTAGAACTTAAATCATAGAAGAGCAATTGAACTCAGCAATGTTCATATTGTCTTCTTGAGAAATGTGTGAAGTCTTTCTTTCTTCCTTTTAAGGGAAAACAGTGTGTTGGCAAGCACTTGCTCACCTGTGAGAGGGATAAGATTCCTGGCTAATAAGTGCCTGAATGTGTACTCTCTTCCTGCCTCGGGCAGCTCCTTGGATGAAGCTGGGAGAGGTAAGCCCTGCCTGACGCCCTGGGTTGTAGTGGGCTTGGACCTGCGTGGATGTCCTTCACTGCCACAGCAGGAAAAGGAGCAGAGCTGAAAGATTATACCATGAGTCCTTCTGGTGTTGTCTACTTGAAGCACACAAGCTGGCCACAGGCATTTAAACAGTGTCATCCCAGAAACTGGGCTCAAAATTGACCATCATTATCAGAAAGCTCATCTTTTTTTTTTTGAGGTATAATTGACATATAACGTTATATTAGTTTCAGGTGTACAACATAATGATTTGTTGTTTGTCTGCATTATGAAATGATCACCAAAATAAGTCTGCTTAACATCTTTCACAGTACAAAGTTACAAATTTTCTTTGCTTGTGATGAGAAATTTTAGGATCTAGTTTCTTAGCAACTTTCAAATATGCAATATACTATTATTAACTATAGTCACCATGCTGTAATTACATCCCATGACTTATTTATTTTATAACTAGAAGTTTATACCTTTGGACTGCATTTACCCATTTTGCCCACCCCCTGGGTCCTGCCTCTGGCAACCACCAGTCTATTCTATCTATGAGATTGGTTTTGGGTTTTTTTGTGGTTTTTTCTGCCATTCCATATATAAGTGAGATGATATGGTATTTGTCTTTTTCTGTCTCACTTATTTCACTTAGCATAATGCCCTCAGGGTCCATCCATGTTGTCAAAAATGGCAAGATTCCATTCTTTCTTATGGCTGAATAATATTCCTGTATTTGTGTATACATTTTCTTTATCCATTCATCCACTGATGGACACTTAGGTTGTTTCCATATCTTGGCTATTGTAAATAATGCTATAGTGAAATGGGAGTGCATATATCTTTTCAAGTTAGTGTTTTTGTTTTCTTCAGATAAATGCCCAGAAGTGGGATTGCTGGATGATACAGTAGTTCTGTTTTCAACTTTTTTTTTTTTTCAAGATTGGCACCTGAGCTAACATCTGTTGCCAATCTTTTTTTTTTTCTTTTTCTGCTTTTTCTCCCCAAATCCCCCCAGTATATAGTTGTATATTTTAGTTGAGAGTCTTTTTAGTTGTGGCGTGTGGGACGCTGCCTCAGCGTGGCCTGACAAGCGGTGCCATGTCTGTGCCCAGGATCCGAACCAGCGAGACCCTGGGCCATCAAAGCAGAGCACGTGAACTTCACCACTCGGCCACGGGGCCAGCCTCTATTTCCAACTTTTTAAGGAACCCCTGTACTGTTTTCCATCGTACCTGCACCAATTTACAGTGCAGAAGGGTTCCCTTTTCTCCACATCCTCACCAATGTTTGTTGTTTGTTGTCTTTTTGCTAACAGCCATTCTGACAGGTGTGAGGTGATGTCTTATTGTGGTTTTGATTTGCATTTCCCTGACTAGAGATATTGAGCATATTTTCATGTACCTGTTGGCCATCTGTATGTGTTTTTTGGAAAAATATCTGTTCAGATCCTCTGTCCATTTTTTATTGGTTTTTATCACTATTGAGTGTATGAGTTCTTTATATATTTTGGATATTAACCCCTTATCAGATACATAATTTACAAATATTTTCTCCCATTCCATAGGTTGACTTTTCATTTTTGATGGTTTCTTTTGCTATACAGAAGCTTTTTAGTTTGATGTAGTCCCACTTGTTTATTTTTTCTTTTGTTACCTTTGCTTTTGGTATCAAATCCAAAAAATCATTGCCAACACCAAGTCAAGGAGTTGACCCCCTGTTTTCTTCTGGGAGTTTTATGGTTTCAGGTATTACATTCAAGTCTTTAATCCATTTTGAGTTAATTTTTTTGTATAGTGGTCCAATTTCATCCTTTTACATGTGGCTGTCCAGGATAAAACTCATCTTCCTGATAGCTGACAAGCACACTGGTGACTTTATTATGGGAATAGAATATGAAGGGAGGCGTAGTATTCATATGAATTGAGTACTAACTGTGTACTGAGCATTTAACATATTAGCTTATTTACCTCCTTCCTGTCTTTGCTTAAGTGTCACCTTCTCAGTGAGTCTTTCTCAACCATCCAATAAATACTGCCCACTCCTTCTCGGTGTCCCGTAATGCCTGGGGCTCCTTATCCACTTTCTCTGCTGTATTTTTCTTCATAGCACTTATCACTTTCTAGTAGTTTTTACTTGCATATTTTTCTATTGCCTGTCTTCTCCCACTAGAATATCAACTCCATGAAGATGGGGAGGGTTTTTGCCTGTTTTGTTCATTCCTGTATTTGTAGCACCCAGAGCAATGACTACCATGCAGTAGGGGCTCAAGAAACATTCATTATATGAATATTCATTGTGAAACAAATAGTTATGCACTGTGAGGCATTTTTGTTATTTGTGTTATCAAGTCTAGGCATGCCCATGTGCTTGTAGAAATAAGAAAATAGAAAAAAGCAGAGCCCGGGTAAAAGAACACAGCTCCCAGTGACTTTCAGGGCTCCTGAAGGTTTCTCTTCATTGAGGAACCAGTAAAATATTGAGCTCCTAACCTGCATGTTAGATGCTGGAGGGCAGGACGCCCTACCCATCTCCTCAGCCCCGAGTCTGAGGTCCCCCTTCTGCTGACTTCCTCGAAGGGACTCCACTCTCGCTTCAGCACGTTCCCAATGCTGGGAATGTCCTTGGCCACACTCCACCTGGTTAAGTCCAAGTTCATCCTTAGTTCTTAGCTTAGACACCCCTGCCTCAAAGATGGGGACACAAGGATGAACAAGATCTAGGGTCTTGCCCTTACGGAGCTCACAGATTTGTAGCAGAATATGAGTCCTATGGTATTTTGAGTGCTGCGGTAGAGATACCATGCATATTATGGGGAGATAGTGGAAGCCACGGGGACAAATGAGGTCACTAGGGATGGTGTCTAAAGTCGAAAGAGAAAAGGACCAAAAAAAGAGTATAGCCCTCCTTGTTTATATAACCAAATCAGCCCCAGAGTGTTTTATTACTCAATTTAGACTGTTCTCCTGACTTAGAGGAAAGGGGAGGAGAATAGAAAAAAAGTAGCCATGAGCCATGGTTAATCTCCTTAAAGTAGCTGTGGCTGGATGTCACATGGAATGATTAAATCAGCCCAGATTAAATCAGATGGAGGTCATGCCATAGGCATATGCCTGTCAATGTTACTTCTTGCACATACATTACTTCTGCGCTCTATTTATATCCTGCAGAAACTCTGAAATGCTCTTTCCGTGGTCGTGAGCTCAGGCCTTTCTGTGCCCAGCATCTCTGGGTATCGCATCACCTACAGCAACTGCTCTTGGGAACACACTGTATACTAGGACCACAGACACAGGGCATGGTCACACTGGAGGAGATCTTGGAGGTCTTTGAGTTAAAACCCTCATTTTAATTTTATTTATATACATTTCTCCATTTAAAAAGCAATATTAGGGGCCGGCCCAGTGGTGTAGCAGTTCAGTTCACATGCTCTGCTTCAGGAGCTCAGAGTTCAGCAGTCCGGATGCCAGGCACACACCTATGCACCACTTGTCAAGCCATGCTGTGGCAGGTGTCCCACATATAAAATAGAGGAACATGGGCACAGTTGTTCGCTCAGGGCCAATCTTCGTCATCAAAAAGAGAAGAATTTGTGGTAGATGTTAGCTCAGGGCTAATCTTCCTAAAAAAAAAAATAGAATAAATAAAATAAAATAAAAAGCAATGTTAGTCCTTTATTAACTGAGCTAAGATAACTGCGTTCATTTTTTATGTATTTCCTTTGTTTTTTTCTATGTATATTTTTCTATAGTAGTATTTATATTGAACATCCAATTTTGTCTCCTGCTTTTTTTATGTAACATCATATGTACTTTAATTTTTATTATGCAGCCCTCATCACCGTTTTAATGGTTTTAGTAGTTTATCAAATGATTTATAGAATAATCTTCTTAGCCATCCTCCAGCTGCTAGATTTAGTATTTCTGACTGTGTGGGGAGAGTGATTTTATATATAATATGATAGGAAATATTTCCCCAAATATACATTTTTCTATATTCTGGACTTTTCCTTGGGCTGGATACCTGGAAGTCTGTGATGAATGAGTTCCGGAACGTGAGCACACGTGTAGCTCATAATGCGTGTTGCCAAATTGTTTTTGAAAGAGGATTAGAACACTTGAAGACACTTAAGTCTTTAGAAGTCCACTTTCACAGCCCAAGTCGGTCAACTGAAGGCTGGAGAAGTTGAATGAGCACCTGAGGTCACCAGGTTTCTGTGCCAAAGTCTGGCCTGTAACACAGAAGGGCTGGCTCATTCAGCGTTTAGACTTTATTAGGTTTCCTTTGCTTGTCCTTTTCCATAAATCTCTGTACACATTTGCTGAAATTATTTTTCTCAAATATTCCAGATAAATTTGTATTTAAACTAGACATGAAATTACATTATTTTACTTTCTGTATTATTAATGTCCAGAGGAAAATAGATATTCACAGTGCTGAGATTACATTAACATTCATTATATATTTAAAAAATTTTTCTGCCTTCTAGTTACTGTGCAGAATATAGTTATATAAGGATATAACCCACTTCATTGATAGAAAATCAACCAAACTTTATTCATTGCTGAATGGCGTTCTTTCCAACATTCTTCCTTGCTTTATAAGGGTAGTCACAATTTTTATTATGGTGAAAGCTACACACACACACACATACCCCGCCTCCCCGCAAAGACACAGAGATCTGATATTCCTCTAAAATCTCTGTCTTTTAAGGATATGTGAACACTAATTTATAGTGTGTGTGTTGCACTAAATGTCACTAGTGAAAAGTACAATTCATTTTTCCATCGGCATTTGAGTGTAGCAGTGGTATAAGTTTGTAACATGAGGAAATGAAATAGAGGACAATTCTTTTTAAATACAATAGTTCAGAATTAAGATTTGTGTATCCTGATGGATATTTGTTTTCTTTTTTATTAAAGGCCATTGCAGCGCCACTTCAGAGAATGCTATTGGTGATGGATATAAAACTCGAATTCCCAGCACAGCTCTCTCTCTTAATGCCTTCCATGCTGTCAGATACTATTCTAAAGTCATCCCTGCCTGTGATGCAGCTGCTGTAACAAATCAGAACCTTTCAGTTCATTTTCCATCAGCCATGCCCAGAGTCTCGAAGTTTCTTCCTCAGCACTGCAATTCTGTGTTGGGCCAGACCTGCGCAACACATCCCAACTGTCTGGTAAGTCTTCTCGCGTCTTGGATCAGACTGGACTGTTTCATTCCAGCCAGCAGGAGTCCCTGACTTGCATTTTGTTGTTAATACTCTGGTCAGACACCTCTTAGACTGGGAGCGGGTGCAGTTAACTCAGGCTCTGTTCCCCATGCTGCAGGACTGGTATCTAGATCTCCAGAATCAGTGAATCTGGATGTGGCTCTGCTCGTGTGACCTTAAGTGATCAGATGGAACCTGCTTTTCTCTAGAGCCCCTCCTGTCTTCCCCTCTGCATCTATAATGCCACATCCCATTTCCCCAGCCGTACCCTCAACTGGCCCCATAACTAGCTGCTGCTTACCTCTTAGGCTGGCAGCAGTCACTCACACTATGTGAAAACCTGTTCTTCCAACACCAACCAGGCTGATTTCGGATCCCAGATGTCCTCGTATCACAGATGTCTATTGAGCACCCACTATGGTCTATTGTTGTGCTACCCTAAGAATATAGTGTATAAAGACAGACGTGCTCCCTGCCCTCATGAAGCTTTAGTGTCATAGAGAAGCAGACATAGAAGCAGGCAACTGTGATATGCATTGGGGCACATAGGAGGAGTACTCTAGTATATACAGTACAGTCTAGATTTGGGAGAGGTTAGGCACTGCTTACCCCTGGAAGAAGTACTGTCTAAACTGAAGAGTAAGATTTAGCCCAGTAGAGGAGTTAGGAGGTGAGAATGAGGAAAGGAAGAGCATTCTAGGCAGATGGGTCAGCGTATATAAACAGTGGCATCTTCATTTTTTAGAACTGTCCAGTTCTAGAAGAAGACCCAAACCAGACTGCCCTGCTTAAAATGGACTTCTGATAACCCTAAGATAGTTGCTAATACTTTTGCATATTAGTAATAGCTAAAATGTTTTGAACACTCCATACGTAATGTGCCACCTACTCTATGTACTTTACGTGGATGATCTAATGAATCTCCGGACAATCTTTTGAGGTCGGTACTATTATTATTTCCTCATGAAATCTATAAAATGGGACTGATAGAGACCTTACCAAAAAAGTTGGAGAGAAATATTCTACAGGGAATTACAAAGAAATTTTAAAATATGAAGTATCTACAGATATAATATTGTTGCTAATGATCATCAGTCTATCAATAGGAAAACCAGGGTAAATGAAAATACATTACAACGTTATTTTTTTTGTTGTTGACCTATAATTACTCTCTGTAGTTTTTGTTGGAGAATTGTTGTAAGAAAATAATTACTTTTAATAACAATCAGTAATGCATGTTTTAAAACCTGTAGGTTTATTCACCTCAAGATTTCACATGGTTTTGCAAATCATTTCATATTGCTTTAGGACATAGAAAATATATTTGTGACATTATGAGTAAGAACACATCAGGATTCAATTAATGTGGTTTTTTTTCCCCCTTTGCAGCAACAGTTTTGGGCATATTAATAGCACATGTTTGAAATTCACAGTCTAGACCACCTATTGGGCGCAGTTTGACAATACAGGAAGAATGGGACAAAGAAGGACCTTGAAAGCTATACCCAGAGACGTAATATCAAAAGTGTTAGCATTGTATGGCTTGTGATGAATGTGCTCAAAGCTTCTGCAGATAGAAAGACAAGCAGCAAAAATGCCAGCCACAAGCTTTCACTTATCTCCCTGCATTCTTGGATCTCCCCCGACCAGAAAGGTGCAAGAACAAATGGCCTAGTGACCTAGAGTCTTTTGTTCCTCAAAAGATATTCCACAATTTATGAAGAAAAAAAGCACTATAGAGAAGATCCCTGCAGCCTTGATAAAGTGATAAGATTGGGGAGGGGCATTGATACTCCAGTGTCACTGAGTACAGATACTGCAACTTGATTCTTATTTTTAGTATCACTGTGAACTCCTGTTACTTATTTCCAGGTGGTGTCTTTTCTAGAGCTGACATTTAAGAGAGCTTCCTTCGTTATTCACCATCCAAACTAAGTTATCTTAGTTTGAGAGAGGTGTTTCCCTCCTCACTTGACTACTAATGAATAAATTGATGTGTTTGTTTTTGCATTTCATAATCCCTTGCGTGAAATGATAGCTAACAGGTAAATTTTTCCTTCTAGATCTTAGACTAGCAAGTCTTTCTTTGTTTTTCATCTCCTCTCTATGGGTATTAGAAAAGACTGTTGAAAATAACAGAAGAAAAATGTTTCTTTTATATTTCACTGAAATGTTCTTATGCAATATAAGTTTTATTGTTAAAGAAAGTATTCAGTTTTGACCCTGAAAATGGTAATTCATTTTTGTTTTGGTTAATAAAATGTGTTCCCTCTTTTAGTATTACTATGTAGGGAATTTAATTTTACTAGATTTTTGAGTTTAAAAATTACTTTAGGCATAGCCTAATTTTCATGTCCAATTGTAAAACTTTTCTTTGAGGATGCCATGATGATGGAATCTGTAGATGTTTGACAAACTTTATAAAGGAACTAGAAGTTTTCAGCTAAGATTCTATGCTTATTATTACAAATGTGTGCTTGGCTCTTTATACTCTTGCCTTTAGGAGTAATTGCTTTGACATTTTGTAAGAGAACCTGTTGAGGTATTTTGGGTACTGAGACTGCTTCCTCTGGTCACAGCTGGTCTTCATTGCTGCAGGGACTTTTGGTGCGCATCAGGGTTTCCCTGGATCCACATGTGGGCCGTGAGAGACAGCTTGTGGCTGGGAATTCAACAGAGGACATATAGAGTACAACCCATAGTTCCTGTCTGCTTGCTATTCTCAGTCCCCTTTATCCTCTCAACGTGAATAGGAGACTAGTGGATCCATTGTTAAAGCTCTGTTTTTGTTTCAAGGCTAGTTCCCATGATCCTGAACTACATGCGAGTGTCCAAATTCATTTCTAATACGAGAATTTCATTTTTAGTAAATCATGCTCTACCAGCTAAGTTCAACTTTCAACCAAGGAAGAAAGACTAGTTGGGCTTCAGCCCATAGAAAAAGAGCAGGTTTTCCTTTGTAAAATCAAGTTAGCTGGTCATGAGACAGTCGCAGTGTTATTTTCTCAATGAAAAATTGCAGAGAGTTTACCTAGAAAAGATGACAGCTTGCAGGTTTCACACTGGTGGTGTAGCAGTCCCTGTCCCTGTTTGAACAGGGAGTAGGGCAGAAATAAACGTTTCCTGAGCCCTTTCTGTGACTCAGGCAAATTATTAGACATTTCCTTGAGGAGAGGGACTTAGCCTTATTCATTTCTGTATCCTCAATGTCAGCCGTACTGCTGGTTGGAGGGATGGATGCATAAATGCTTGTTTGGATACCTGGGTGAATGAGGAGCCAAGAGGAAGTAAAGATCTGAACTCAGGTAACGCCTATGCCAAAGGAAAGCAGGAGACATAGTCGAGCACGTAGGAACCATTTGAAGTTAAGAGAGAGGGAAGAGTGGAAGTTGATATTTAGCCATCACTATCATTTTTATTGATAGCGTATCAATCTGTTTACACCCATTTCCTGCCCCTCACTTTTCAGATGTATGAGTTGGACCATTCCCCAACATGGTACAAATGACAGTAATTGGTAGTATTCACAAACAAACTGTTGTGTGTTCTGTGGAGAACACTCAAATGTTGAACAACTCAAAAATCATTCAGTTATTTATTAGTTTGTTCAGGCATTGTCTTAAATGCTGGGAATACAACTATATATAAGGTGTAGTCTTTTTTACTTTTTAGATCTGGGAGCTTAGAGTCTGCTGGGAGAGGCAGGTAAAACAGAATTGCAATTGGGTTTGCTGAGTGCTACGAAAGGGGAGAATATGAAGTCCTGCTGGAGTCCATTGGAGCAGCACCCCAGTCTCATGGGAGGCTTTGGGGGCTAGTGACATCTAAGCTCTCCTCATCTCTAAAATTGGTGAGGACAGTACTTGCCTCTTAAGGTGCTTGTGAAGAATAAATGAGATAATATATATAAAAGCCCTTAAAACAATGCCTGGAATATAGTAAGCATTTAATACACGTTAGTTATAATTGTGGTGATGATGAAGGTGATGATTAAGCTTAGATTTTTAAGGACAAGTAGGCATAACCTAAGCCAAGTGGTCGAGATTTGGGGACTGATTAGGGAGATGAGTTTTCAGGCAGATAGAATTTCACTTGCAAAGGTACCGAGAAAAGGACAGCGTCACATGTTTGGAGAAGTGAACGTGATTCCACATGTCCATGCCTAGAGTTCAGGTGTAGGATGGAGGAAGGATGGAGCAAGAAGATAGGCAAGAGCAGAGGGAGACAGACTAGGGCCATGTGATGTTGCCCTGTTTGTCCTTTTTAATGGTGCCTCGTTGCCATCATGATACTGACATGATCAGATTTGCATTTTGGGGTGCCTACTCTGGCTTCAGTGAATTAAAGGCAAAATGAATTGAAGGGAGCTAAAACCAATGGCGAGGGGTAGGGGGAGCATTCTAGTAATTTAGGCAAGCGATGGCCCCAAATGAGTTATTGGCAGTGAGGATGAAGAGAAGTTGACAAATTTGATCACTGTTAAGGGGACGGAATCAGCAAGACTTGGGAGATGATTCAAGATAGACATTGTGAATGAGGGCAAAGAAGTAAGGCTAACACCCAGGTTTTGGGCTTTGGTGGCTGGATAGGTAGTATTGATGTTCACTGAGGGAACACAAGGAAAAGAGCATCTGGAGGGATGGCACTGGAAGATGACAATTTTATCTGGGAATGTGTGTTTGGGTATTTGTAGGACATCCTAGTAGAGGTAGCTAAAATATATTCAGATTGGAGCAGCACAGGTGGGAGATCTGGATGAGAGATGACGTGATTTGGGGAGTCATCACCCTGGGGCAGCGGGAATGTTAAAGTGGGACATTCAAACATTAGATGGTGAGTTTGCCTAGATGACGCACAGGGACCTTCTGACCCTACAATTCTACTGTAATTCATCATAAGAAGTCACTTGGTCAGGCCTCCAGTATTGCATGACATTACAAGTTACCAGAGATTCGTGGTTCATGGGTAAAACCCTCAAAAGCAGAGGGCACAATTTGCCCATGGCAGCTGTGTTTGTTTACTTATTGTTTTTTACTTGTGAGAATTTAAATTTCTTTGAATTTCTGGCTTAAGAAAAATTCAAAACTTAGGTAATACTAGACCTATTGCTAGTATGGTAAAATAAAAACAAACTCAAGTAAGTTGTGCCTGCTCCTTTATATGGGGCATCAGGTTCCCTCTGGTCACTTCCCACCCAGCTTGCCTCATTCGTGGAAGTGACTTGCCTGGTCCCTGCAGGTCTTCTAGTATGACTCCTATACAGGGGAATCACTGAGGTAGGAGGAGCCAGCATGCTAAAATGCAGATTACCAGGCCATACTCCACAGGGTCAGATTGGTAGGCTTGGCTGGGCATCTGGGAATCTACCTTTTAGCAAACACTGCCAGATGTGTTAGACATATCTGATTATCCTATTTAAAAACACCAAATGCACATAAATGGATGCAGATACCCATCAGGGACACAGAACCAGACACAAATTAAAACCATACGTCATTGTCTTCCAAACCTGGCAGTGCGTGAGAAGCACTTGTTGATTTTTGAAAACGATACGCATCAGGACTCCTATCCGAGATTCTGATTCCATAGTTCTAGACTGGGGTCTCGTACTCTGCATAGAATGATTCTGATGTGCAGCCAGGTTTGGGAGCCACTGTTTAATTTATAATATGCTAATCACATCCATGTTAAGGGCTGACACCAAGAGGTGAAGCACAAGGGGCATGGCCTCCTAAATCGAGACGGGTCAGCGTGGAGAGAATCATTACTTCCATACGTGAGAAACCTGGGGAGGTGGGTTTCAGAAACCTCTTTGGTTAAGATAGAAAGATGATTAGACAAAAGCACTTCATGCCCAGAGTTGAGTTATGGGGAACTCAAAGGTGAGAGTGGACCCAGGGATTCTGAGTAGGTCTAACGAGAAGAAGAGTGAGGACCAGGAAGATGAGAGAGGGCTTCACTCACTTCAGTTTATCTAGATGGCAACGGAAGCTGCTTGTGTGAAGACAGGTGCTTTCCCATTTTTATTAAATTTTTCATGTTTTATAAAACTACTCAAAAGGTTTGTTAAAAGCAGGATGCCACTCTTGCAAAATAATGAACATTGAAAAAGGTATGTCATTTCTCTGAATACTTGGCACTGACATGTCATAACAAAATTTTGAAACCAGAACCTGAACCTCCTGGCAATTTTCTCTCCAACTATCGAGAATGCCCTGGTTTTCCCCTTTCCTTCAGCCTGTCTCCCTGTTACATAGAATGAGGAAGGAGGAAGAAGGAAGCCCACAGATCACCTTAGTTAATCGTGTATCAAGTGCTGGTTTCGTCGCCATGGAAACATGACACTCAGATGGAAGACAGAGAAGCCTCTTATCTCTGTATTTTTCAAGATTGTTTTTATATCTCAGAATAATGTCCTTTCTGAAAACAAAATAACAGGAAGATACACACACATACACACGATTACGTTGCATAGTATGTTATATATGCTGTTGAATTTTTACTCATCAGACTCTGGTAAAAAATTCTTTTTTGCTCAAAGCAAAGACTTCTAGAAGCTAGGTGGACTTGAGCATTCCTGGGAGAAACTTCGGAGAAATAGACTGCTAAAATGCACGGATAAACTTGGTCTGAAAAGTGGTCTGCTAAACTGTGTCTCCCGAGAAGTCTTTGCAAACAGATACTCCTGTCCACTTATTTCTTCCCCAGATGTCTTAAGGCTAAGGGAGGGTGTTGGGAGTGATGTATTTTCTAAAACACGGAATTCTTTCTCCTTTCATCCTGTCTCAGGCTCTTTTCTTGTGTCCTTCCAAATAACAGCCCAATTTTTAAAAATTCTCTGGGTTAGGACTTCAGAGACGTCATGCCATTTTTAAATCCCCACTAACAGGTCTCAATGTTGCAAGCACTGTGAAAACCCTTGCAGGTTGTTTTCCCCATAGATCTAAAGTTGATCTCAGTTTTGAACTAGAAACTGTTGGGAAGTAGGAAGTCATCCCCATAGCCCTGTGTATGTTAGGTTGGGTACAAGAAACAAGAGAACAAACACTGCTTTCTTTTCCTTTACTGCTTTGAACTAATAGCTGGTTCTCCCATGTTGTGGTATGCTAATAGTCCTGAATCTTTTGTTTATTAGGCATTAAGGAAGAGGTGAAAAACCCATAGGATTACTTCCCTCTGGGTAATTACTTGTTTAATATTTTTAGATTTTATTTACTATCATCAAGAAGAAGGCCAACGTGGTTTAAGCATTGATTTTTATCTCCTAATGGAACACTATAATTGAACTGCCCTTTTATGACATTTAACTGGTAAGGTAATGATTTTAAATATCTTGCTAAAGGAGACACCGCAGACTTTTTGTTTTCAGTGTGACAAGAAATTCCACTCTTTTATAGGGTTAGTGAGTCAGGACCTGGACCAAAATGCCTCTAAGCCTTTGGCAGAG